GCGGCCGACCGGCCGTCGAGAAAAACATTCATTTTGAAGGCCGGCTGTGTTGCGGGCCGCTGACTGTGTTGCCGGCGAGGACAACCATTCATTTTGGAGGCTGACTGATGCCGGCGATGGACGTGTAGGCCGCTGGCTTCGTTGCCGTCGTTGAACTGGGACCGTGAACTAGGGCTTGGCATTTGAAATGTTGCTCTTTTTTTTAAATAGAAGCAGACATGATGGGATAAAAGATGCGGCCGCGCGTTGGGCGCACGTCCACCGCATCCCAGGACAGGTCCGGACACAACCCCATCGCCTTTCCAAACGGACAGAATCCGGACAAAACGAACATCCGCTTGGGTCGCGTGGTGGAGTTGGCCTCATGCTTTGTGCCAACTCTGGCCATAGAGGATCCTGCGCCAATGACGGAAGCACTGGCGGCGCCGTAGCCGGTGATCATGTCACGGCTGAGCTCATGTACGCTGCGGGCCATGGGGCCGCGAATCTTCAATGGAAAAATATTTCGGAGTGGCTGTTTTAGTTTTGGTCCCCAAGTTGCCATCGTCATCTAGGAACATCAATTTGGTGGCTTTATAGCCGATTTTTGTCTGGCAAGTGGGCGTGGGTGCATTTTCATCGGTCTCTTCTCGAGTTCATGCAAGGAACTTTCAGTCGGAATCGTCCCAGATGAATGCAATGTTTGTCGAGGGAATCTGTCTTCTCGTTACCGGTTCACACAGTTCTCCAGATTTCGTCTTACACTTCGTAAAAATTTCAGACGAGACTAGTAGTAGTACTACTGTACAATTGATGATCGATATCTGTTGATAACCGTAGAGAGATCACCAAAAGAGCGCCCACGAAATGCAAATTGGTCCACCACAGACCACACCACGCGTGAACGAACGGTTACAGAATGGGAATTCGGCCTAAACTAAGAAGCTAACAACACACGGCTAAGAGAGAGGAACAATCGGCGAGAGAACGCACGTAGCATTCACCTAGCCCCATCGGCGCCGCCGCGGCGCGCCTCGTGCGCCCCCACGGCCGGCGGGAAGTTGAGCAGCGCCTTGGCGCCGCGCAGGCGGAACGCGGCGCGGTCGTAGGCGACGGCCGCCTCCTCGGCCGTGCCGAAGGTGCCGAGCCACAGGCGCGTGCCGGGCCGCGATGGGTCCCGGATCTCCGCCGCGTACTTCCCCCACGGCCGCCGCCTCACCCCGCGGTAGTGCGGGCGCTCCGCGGCCCTCCCGGCCGCGCATGCCCTGCCGCCCTCGACCGTGGCGGGACCAGAGGCGGCAATGGCCGCCGCCATCTTCGTCGGGGGAGAGGAGGAGGAGGAGGAGGGCGAGGCGGCGGCCACGGCGGAGGCCTCGCGGAGGACGTCGAAGAGGAGCATGTCGAGGGAGTCGTTCTCGTTGAGCGGGAGGTAGGCGGCGGCACCGCCCAGCGAGAGGGACGTGTCCATGCCCATGGCCGCGCCCACCCGCGCAGGCGGAGCGCGCGCGCCGGGCGTGGCGAGATGGTCGGCGCCGAGCGAGAGAGGCATGTCTGCGCGCGGGGTGGGGCGTGGGGGGGTTAGCTTGCTGCGCACACCGGAGAGAGGTATATGTTGCTATTTACAGCAGCCCGGAGAAGGCTTCCCTGGCAAGACACTGGTTTTCTGGGGGAGCATTGACGAGGTGGAGACCGCGTGGGCACTCTGTGCGCCGCAGGCGTCACGATTCTTGGGGAGGAAGGCAAGGCGGAGGAGGACAAAGAGAACAAGGGAGTGTAGCGGACCCGTGGTGGGATTTGTCAAGCGACGAGCATAGATCCTTGACATAGATCGCCGTCGGAGCGCCACGCCAAGGGACGGACAAGCAGCCAGGGGCCCCGGCGGGAAGAGTCGCGGTCGTGAACCGTTCTCGAAGGGACGGACAGGCAGGACAAAGGTTCTGGACTGGTTGAGTTGTTTTGCCTGCTCCGGCAACGATCGGTCAAGGCGTATGCACCCTTTTCATTTTGGCAATGTGCGTGTACTGTTTTTGTGCAGTGAGGGTACCTGGCTGCCATTTTTTAAGGTGGAGGATATATTTTTCGTACTGAACTTATTTTGAAAGTACTATCAAAAGGGCCCGTGCGTTGCAACGGGAGAAAAAAAATCACAATCTTCAATGGCCATGATCACATATTGCTGCATCACCGAGATACACTATCACTCTCAATTTCGTGAAATTGTGAATATTTTTTAAACTCGTGAATATATTTGAAATAGTGAAGATTTTTCAAATTAATGAACACATTTATAAATTTTCGAACATTTTCTAAAATCAAGAACATTTTTTGAATCGTGAACATTTTATACTATTTGCAAACGTTTTTTAAAAATTGTGAATCGAACATTTCTAGAATGAACAAACATTGTTTTCAATATTGGTGGAACAATTTTTAAAATTCGCGAACATTTTTTTGATTTAACGAACATTTTTTTAAATGCATGAACATTTTTTAATCAGCAAATATTTACGAGTAAACTATTTGTAAGTCATGAACAATTTTTGAATTTTATTGGATATTTTTCCGTTCATGAGCATTTTTTAAATTGGAAATTTTTTATACAATTTCATTAACATTTTTTAATACATCAAATTTCTTAAAAATCATGGGCAGAAACACTTCTTACTTTAATAGTTAAAGTAGGTATAGATATAATAGACATTTTCGAAATACACCATATAAAGAAAATTATTAGTTAAGGGTGCATCTTAAACATAATTTTAGAAATAATTAACATGCAAGATAATAGCATATTTGAAATCTACACATTTTTTTGAGGGATTTCCATATATAGCATGTTTATTTTGAAGTTATGATTTGAAAGATATTTTTAAAAGCATTTGAATCTATTAAGAAAAGAAAGGAAAGTTTAAAATAGAGTAGCTGGGCCGAAATTGCAACATTGCAACCATCAGTTAAGCCACGCTTGGGCAAGGCAATTGTATCCTACGCCAACATAAATTGGTAAGGAAATACAACAGCAAAAAGGGGGAGCGGTGGGATGGAGAGAGGACACTCAAGCGAGTGTGCTATTGGCATGTTTCTAGAATATAAGAAGAGCTCGCCTTAATAAATAACCGAAATTCGACGGTGATTTGTGAAGGGAAAACAAATCGTTTTTTTCCACTTACCGGTGGCGTGGTGGGTAAATATTTATAACTACGGGGGCAATTTGTATGATGTACCACCAAAAGCATTAGGCTCTTTATTATTAGAGAAAGATATAAATGGTTCTTCAACTTTAAAACAAACAAACCTTGGTATATCAACTTATTGAACCAAATTTCTTGGTTTTTTTTGGCAAGCAAGCCAAGGAAAGCCTGAAACCTGCTCAATGCTGGGAGCCCTGAAGATTAAGAGCATCTACAGCCGGGCGCCCCAAATCGGCCTCAAACGCCCGGTCACTGACCAGTCACGATTTTTTGACCCAGATGGCCCCTCAAAC